CATTCTTTGCCTATAGAGTTTATCTGAGTAGTCTAATAAATTTGAAAGGTTGTGAAGAAAATAGGACTTGGCCATTTTCTCTCAAGTAAATTAGTTGTCCTGGTGTCAAAATAAGTGAGGAAGAACTTCCTACTTTGCAATTCACTACCATGCAGGATGCTTTAAGGGCATAAGATCTAACTGTGGTACTAATGCAGAGTTTTCGGGGATTTAAAGTTCTAATAAAGAGTAAACTTAAAAACAGAATCTAAAGAAGTCTGACTTAGATCGTACGTGTAAGAAATTATGATATTTACTAGATCTGCATAGACCAACCATCTACCAGACAGCAGTAAGGTATTTGAACAGGATAATAATATTTCTTTCACAAGTTAATTTGGATGTTAATATAAGTCATGATCTCTTTGGAATTATTGTTTTCTTCAATGTCCTCACTAACAATCTACCAGTGTCAGTTATACTACATTCAGAGGAGAGATAAAATTAGTGTAAATGAATGAAATACAATTTAAAGCAAAAATATATTTTCTTTTCCCATCAAGACTAGCCACTATGAAACTATGAGGGGGTATTTCAATCTTTAGTTACTGATAAAGGAATGATAATTAATTAATGTCTGTTTTATAAGGAAGCAAAAAGGAAACAAACATTAGGTTAAGGATAAGGAGGGTGTTCTTCATTTCACCAAGACAGACTTTAAGTGAGGAGATAAAGGAATCAATTCCAAGGAGACGCTTCTGGATGCCACACATTAGGAGGAAATGTGGGCTTCTTGTATCAGTTGGCATTCTGGTAATTAAGTAATACAGATATCCCTCCATTTATATAGCAGCTCAGAAATGGCGTCTGTGTAATTGTCAGGTTGTTCCATTGTGACTTGTATGTGGTTATGGCAGAGAGGGCTGGAGAATCTCAAGGCATTGCTCTAACAGGAAACACCTCCATATCTGTCATTTGATGGCTGCCACCTGAGAGAAGACAATTAGAGTAAATTGGGACATTTTCCAAAGCTGTAAAAACTGACAAGATGTGCTGTTAAGTCATCTAAATGGAGTCTGACACTTGATCAGCAATTTTGCTTAGGAGAGGGGAAGAAAAGTCACCAAAATGAAAGGAAAAGCTCTCTGCTTGAAGTCTTCAGAGATTTTGTTCTCTCTTGACAGTGACAGGAGACAAAAGCAGGACCACAGGTTAGCCACTCAATGTTACAAACACATTTCAAACACCAAAATTTCTTCTTTCTAAAGAAAAAACAAAAGCAAACAAATAGAAAGTAAAATAGAGAAGTGTTTAGAAGGGTACAGGAAGCCCATAATTTTCAATAGTCTGAATCAAAACCACTCAATTGATAATAACAAATAATGAAAAGAAGTTACACTCCTTCTTTCCTAAAGCAGATGCACAAAACTTTGCATGTGAAATGTAAAAAAACTGTTGAAATATATGAAATATTCTTTAAAAGCACGTTCTCTACCCAGTTTTATTATTTATTCTCTCATTGAGTGCTTTGTACATACATAAAAATGTTTTGTTTTTTTTACTCATTGAGTTGTCTTTATTATGATGAGGAAAGACTTTTACATTGATCCTCATGTTGATTCCTAGGATTAGAAAATTTCAGGATGACATCAAATACAGGCTAACAGGGGATATAGAAAACACCAAACTGGTGCTCATTCCAGAGGATCCATTTATTATAAAGATATTCATAGAACTTATGCAGTTTTCCAAGAACAAATAAAATTATCAGATATATATTATCTTGATTTGATCTTTAATTAGAATATGTATTGGCCTTGTTTTATCTTAGAAAATAAAAGGATTTCTTAGGATACTAAGAACTTCCATCAATCTGACCATAGTAATTTGAAGAAGACTATATGAAATTTGAAATGGCATAGGGCTGGCCTGGATTATTGCTTTTAACTGAGTAAAAAAAAGTGTATATATATATATATATATATACACTTTTTATAATTATATTTGATATTAGTTTTAGGTAAATTCAATGATTATAAATACAATGTAACATCCAAACCTATAGAAGTATCCAGAAAATATTTTCAAAAAGGAAAGAGGGAAGTTCTAAAGTCTGTTTTTAAAACAAAAGTCAATTTTTGTTGTTCTCTCTTTCTGCCTTGGTTTCTTGTGTTCCCTACATGGATAGACTTTAAAAATATACATATTTGTATACATATATTTAAAGTATTGAATGCACAATATTTAAAAATCTGAGAATGAATCATAAAAGTTGAAAAAACCAAATAAATATTTGCTCTAAATATCACTATTAAATATTCAAAGTGACTAAGCATCCAGCAAACATAATAAAAACTACTTAAGCTACAGTTTGTCATAGTTAAGGAAGCAAAGTGATAACATTCATGGAAAATGCAGAAACAAGATTTTAAGAAAAACTTATAAAAATTAGAAAAAAAAAGAATACACATATATACAAGCATACATGTACACATATGCAACATTTATTTGATTATATTTAATTCATATATGGGTATATGCAAATATTTAGTTATTTGCTCTTATTTATACCTTTGTGTTTTGTCTGAGAATATTTCATTTAGTATTTTATTTTACATGATCTATTACATTAAAATGCCAAACTTTCAGTGAGTTCCAATTATCCTACATTTTGTGTATATGCTTATGTACTTTATCTATGTACTGAGTATACTGGCCATTCTAGGAAACCAGGGGATGTCAGATCCTTTTTTTTTTAATATCTTGTATGACTTCAAATAGATGTCAGTAAGATAATGTTACAGTCTAAAAGGCAATCAGGATTAAGGATTTCCAGATGACTCAGATTCTCTGTTGGCTAGACACCACATATTATGATGGTAATTTCTCTATAAAAATGTATTTTTAAGTGTATTCAGTATATATGTATATTTTTTCTTTAAAATATAGCCAAAAAAATCTTAATGAAGTCTGCCAAAAGGTGACAGAAATAATTTTGATGATGTTCTTTACAAACATAAATGTATATAAGATCTTTGAAAAGAGGACTTAAACAAAATTTTAAAACATATATGTTAGCATTTTCCCAGGTGCAAGTAACTAAGTCAACTGCAAATTAGCTTAGTGAAAGGAATTTATTTGCTTATATTTCTGAAAGGTCAGTGGGTTGTGCTGGATTCAGATATGGATACATTCATGATCTCCATATAAGTTCACAGGTTCTCTCCATAGTTGTGTTCATTTATCTTCTGTAATGGTCAATTTTTTACAGAAGCTTTCTTTATAGTACCATAAGTTGAGTGATTTATAGACTCAAAACTTTCATCAAGAATTCAGATTGGAATTTCAGGAGTTCAGAAGTCTCTCCTTATATTTGAGGATATACACCTTAGAATATGTTCATATCCTATGAATAAAGAATCTCTGAAACCACAGAGAGTACCAAACCTTATATATACTGTTTTTTATCTATTCATGCAGACCCATAATAAAATTGAATTTATAAATTAGGCATGGTAAAAGATTAATAATAATAACAACTAATAACAATACCATATAATAAATTGCCATTATTACCATTCTTGGAACCATTTCCAAGTAAAATAAAAAAAAAAACACTTGAATACAACAAGCACCATACAAACACAGCAGTTGATTTACTATTCATGAAAGCTACTATGTGACTAAGGGGCAGGTAGCATATACAGCTTGTATAAACTAGACAAAGATTCCATGTGAAATAGAGCAGGACAGTGCTAAGATTTTATCCCCTTACTCAGGATGGTGTACAATTTAAAACTTCTGAATTGATTTTTTTTTCTAGAATTTTTCATTATTTTGGATCACAGGTAACTGAAACTGCAGAATATGAAACCCACAGATAAGTGAGGGGTTAGGAGCCTGGCAAAGTCATTTGCACATCTGGGAGTGAGTAAAGACAGTGATTGACTTAAGCCTACGTTATATCTCCTAGTTCTGGAAGTTGATTCATCTCTACCTAATTATGTGAGTAAATATTCAAGAGGAGTTGTTTCTTAGGCAAATTTTAATGTTAGAACAGTTTGCAAATGAATTATAGGGAAAATGATAGGCAATAACAGTTCTATAACTTATCATTATGTATAGTGAGTATGTGTAAGTATTCAACAAGAAATGAAAGAATCAAAAATTAGTGGAATTCCACAATTCTTTATATCATGACACTTGTTTTACAAAAAAAAATGGTTATAAAATTCACAGATTCATTTTTGCGATCTTAAGTACACCTGAGCATACTTATCTTTGCAGAATATGCAGCTTTTTCATAGCAGCTTTGGGAATATGCAGCCTCTTGTGCGAGGTATTGTGCTTCAGTCTCTTCATTAAAAGCTTCAGACCACTGTACTCTTACTCAGTCTCATGTTTTTCAGACTAATGTCTTTCTTTAGAAATGGCACTCTCCTCTTTCTCTGAACAGTGATCTAATTCTGACATTTCTTATGGTTGAGTTTATTAGATGAGTATTGATTTTACAAGAGAATGCATTGTTAGGAGAAAAATCCTTTGGTTTAACATATAGTAGTGTTCCGTTCCGAGAGAATACTTACACTAAAATATGGAGAAATATACTTAAGAGGCCATGATAGTTCTGTAGATGATGGCAACTCTCTTGTGCTCTTGCCATGTTGCTCCTGTTTGGCTCAGTGTCCAGCTCTATTCATTAGAATGGTGATTTACTGGATTTGGATGGACAAGGAACACATGGATGGCAATGCTCTTTGCAACAACCCCATCGTCATATCCAAGATTGTCCCAGTGTACATGGCATTTTGACAGAATCAAAAATGGCATGATGGTGCTGTATCTATTAAATAAGTAAATAAAAAAGTTGAATTTACTTTCACTTAGAAAATATGTTGTTCCAAAGAATTTGGTACATTAACTCTACTGGTAACAATTTACATAGTGCACACATCACAACCCTGTAATAATAACCAGTTACCTAGTATGACCATTGTATGCTCAATTTTGTTTTAATACAGATGTTAACCCAGAAACATCTCTGCTGAAATTTCTGATAGACTGTAAGTAAGTAAAGGGAAACCAAGGTGGTTTTATGAAAAAATTCTCTGGGCTAACATGTCACTCATGGAATAATCACCTGGTGTGGATGACAGTTCTCACACCAGCTGCTTGACATCTGAACAGCTGCCAGTGCCCTAGGAAATGTCACACCATCAGATATAGGCTCTGAGTGTATGTGCAGCAAAAATGTGTGCAGAAGAGGCCAGCACCCCAGGCCATGACGAACACCCCAGGCCCCATCATCCCATAGGCCCGAAGCCAGGGTTGAGCTGTCAGTTTAATAAATGAATAGCCTCTTTGTTTTGATCAGCATTGTCAAGGCTTATTTGAAAAAGGGACTCTGATTCCTCTCACAGTCTAGCCCAGCCAAAGTCAATTGGTACAATTTCAAGGTGAATTTATGCATTCTTTATAAAGTTCTGTGCGCGAATATATCAAGACAGTTGAATAAATTGAAATAAATAGAGTTGGAGTTACATATTCTTCCAGTAATTGAAATAGTTTCCCCCCAATATATTTATAGTAATAATTCTACCTTTATGAAACCTAGTCTAGCTACAGAAAGGAAAGCATAGAATTACCATTTTGATAACATATTTGGAAAATGCAATTGGGGCTAATATGTTGATAAGGGCACCTGCAAGTTGTCCTTGCCTTTAACCATTCCATGTTAAACTCTGAGTAAAATGCAGTTTTACCATTTGATAAAGATGCCTGATTAGCCTGCATTGATGTGCAGATATTTACCCAGAAATATTTACCTTTCTAGATAGCAGTCACCAAATACTAGCTCTTTCTGTCTGCTTCACAGTACTTGGAGTTACATATTATAGGACGCCAGATTGAAAAAGTTGTATGTGTTGATGTCCATCTGAAATGAGAAAAATCTAGATAATTTAATGTAGAATTAATTTAATGAGTCACCAGATACCACCATTACCATTTTAATAATGCAAAAAGCTGTCCTGGTTAGAGTAGAAAAGCTTTCCAAAGATTATCTGCATGTGATGGAGAGAGAATTCATCTCAAACACTTAGAGCATGCTGTTCTCAAAAGGATTTTCAAAGTATGAAATATCTTATCTGGAAAGTTGGTTCCCCTCAAAACTATCAATAAGCCTTGGGAAATGCTGCAATCTGAGATTTGGAAAGAAAAATGCTTTGACTTGATAATGAACAACTCCTGGGAGTGATAGGCATTTGTGAGCAGAAAAGTCTAATAATGGAGGCAGAATGGTGAGGGGTTTAGGGAACAACTTAGACCAATATTAATTCTTTAGAAACTTGAAGCAATGTCTATGATATTTTTCCCCATTGAGAAGCAATCTATAAAAGTGATCAAACTGATCAACTGAGAATGCCATTTGCCTTCCTTTATCTCTTTTTATCATATTCTTTTAAAGCAAATTGAAGCTTCCTCTCCTACCCATCAGTATGTATGTAACCTCTGATGTGTGACCCAGGGGCAAATAAGCATTTCTGAGCCACCGCCTGGAATATTATCATTTCATAAAACAGAGACAAGAAGTGTATGAGTTACAATCAGGCTGAGGGGATGTATGGCATGAATAAAATAAATTTCAAAAGAATATTTTACCTTTGAGTCATTTTTATAAAAAAACAGCCAAGTTGTTATTGATTAAAATTCTTTTTTTTTTTTTTTTTTCACAGCTCTCCCAGAGCAAACCATATCAATGAGCTGGAAACCTGAGTTGTGATTTTAGTAGATGGGAAGCTACACACTCAACTCATCAGCAAAGTGGAACCTTCATTTATAGTTAGAGTGGTTATATCAGTGTCACAGTCTGAGTTCACCTTGATTTGTAGGGAGTCTGTGGGGCCTGAAAAACATGTTATGTTGCTTTGGCTGTAGAAGCATCAATGTATGTTGTGTACCACGTAATGGCATTTAGGTCAATGGTACCACAAAAACAGTTTCCATCTCATGAGGTTATATAGCCCAGTTATAGCATAGTTTGTATAGATGTAATCTCATTGATGTCTCACCAGTGTATCTCTCAAAATATGGCTCCATCATTAAGTGAGGTATGTGACAGTTCTGGTTGATAATCAGTACTTAATAGGAGATATTCTGCCAAGGAGGACCTGACTATTAAGCTTTAATAACTTAAAGATAACTGAGAACAGGCAAATTGCAGTCTCCTTCTATTTTTAGAGTCTGAAATGTGTCCGATTGGAAAGTGATTTCTTGAGTAAATAAGATATTATCTCAAGTGATTGTGTCTGAGAAGGAATAGATGTTTCTCAGTGCAGGTGTTTTGCCTTAACTTAACCTTAGAGTAAGTAGTTACTCTTACAAGGAATATATTTTCAGATAAAAATTGTATTTCTTTCCTGACAAAAGACTTAAAGTAATTTGTGGTCCTGATACTGAAAGTTATCCAACTCCTCTGTATTGCTCACAGAAACATCCTGTTTTTTTTTTTTCATTCTTTGTAGCTTCACAAAGAACCTCTTGAACATGTGTCAGCCAACTTTTTCTGTAGAAAGATTCCAAATACTTTAGACTCTTAAAGCCACAGACAATACGTAAGTGAAGAATGTGGTCATCTTCTGATAAAAAAAATTATAAAATAAGCCTCTGGATTATAGTCAACTTTTGTTCTGGAATATACAACATCTAGGCAATTAGATTCTGTGGGTCTAATTTACAAGAATAAACCAATACAAACTATTATTATGGTCCTTTTGTATTTGGATCATTCTCTTAAGAGACTTATACTAACCCATTAAGCTATTTGACTTTCCTGTTAATCTATCCATCTACTCTCTCAACTGGACTACAAAATAGAAGTCAAATATTAGATCTTAACCACATAGTTAAGGTTTTTCAGCCACCAAAGCTGAAGACAGAGATGGTGTCCCCTTTTAGAAAGAAAGCTGATTTATTTACTAGCAAGTGGAAAAGATAACCAATTTCCTGAGCTCAGGGTTGCCCAGCTGTGAAGAAAACTCATTACATGTGCACCCCTCCATGTTGCCCATGTGGAACTTGATGAGATAAGAGAAACTAAGGAACACATGAATCTCAGGCTTCTTGATATCTCATGAGCAATACTATTCGGTATCTCTTGCCCTTGGAGTCTCTAATATTCTGCTTGTATACATAAAGACAGGATAATTACTACACCAAAAGTAGTAAAAAATTTCAGATCTTTCATAGTCTAAGGAAAAATTCCTAGAGTTGGAGACAAATATTAAATGCATTTTAAATTAATTTTAATATTAAAGTTATCTGTATTTACACACATATATATACATTTATATATATATATACACACACACATATACATGTTTCTCTTCCTCTAATTGTGTTATCTAATGTTTGATATTTGCCAACTTGCTAAGGGAAAATGATATTGGATTGTATTTTTAATTTGTATTTTCACAGTGAGTGAGTCTAAATATTAACTCAAGGACTAAAAAGCTTTTGATATATAATTTTCTCTGTAGTCATAATCTGTCTTTCCCCATTTTTCTGTTTGTTTCTTTGATTATTTTGAGTTCTTTCAGTACTAACAAAGTAGGCTGTTGTCTATTATACATTACACATGCTTCTAAATTTCAGTTGTCTTTTTCATTTATTCAAGGTTTTTCTTGTAAATGAGACTTTTTAAAATTTTAAGTAGACAAATTTATCAGGATTCTCTTTTATGGCTCTGAATTTATGTTTAAGTCCCTTCCTATTCAAAGATAATTAAAGACAATAAGGTCTGCTGCTTTTTGTACTTTTCTGATTTCATTTCTCTTACTTGAATCTTTTATCTATCTGCAGTGCGTTTTTTAGCAAGGATTAAGATACAGATCCATCTTTGTTTTTTTTGTTGTTGTTTTTTTTTTTGGATTTAAGTTATTTTTGAAATAACCTGTGTTGGAAATCTTAATTGAGATTTAGAACAAAAAAGAATTTCCTTGAGAATAACTTAATCACACACTTGAGATAAACTATTAGCTGAATTTACTAAACCGTTAAATTAAACATTTCAACTAATTACCAACATTCCATTGAATAATAAGGTTTGCTTTGGCCACCCGGCCTCCTTCGCAGAGGGAGGGCATGGGGACAGATTATTTAGTGAGGTCATTTTCAGGACTCTTGTTTTGATTGTTCTTCATCCATGTGTTCTCTCCTCTCCTCTTTCCATCCCTCCTTCCATTCATCTTTTCCCTCCTTGTCTCCCTCGCTGTAGCTGTATTCCTCCTTTTCTTTTTTATTCTTTCTTCCTTCCTTTCATGAATCTAAAACTCTCCTCAAAGACCAATTGTTTCTTCTTAATTTGGGTGCTCAGATTTTCTGTGTATAGTTTAATGAGCTTCCCCTTTTCAGTCTCTGGATTCCTTCCTCTGTGTCTTTTCCTCATCAATATTTCAGTATATTTTCTTCTACTTTGTCTCTTCTCTTCCCTTTGTTTTAGACAGGTGTCCCACCAGTGGGGTCATTGGTTGCTGGTGCTTTTCTGAAAATCTCTGTCCTCTTCTGCTTCCTGTGCTCTTCATAGTCTCATTGTTTTTCCCCTAATCAAGAATTTATTTTTTAACAGAATCTTTCTGGATTATATACCTTGGAAAAATTACCATGAGTAATCTCAAACATCTCCCTTACTTTTTTAGGGGTTCTGTTTGTTTATTTTGTTTTGGTCTTTATTGCTGTTTTCTTTCCTTTTTTTCCCCATTTGTACTTATCTGTTTTCACCAGTCACCTTTGCATTTATTTTGCAATCATAGAAAAGGCTGTCACATTATTGACTAAAACGTGGACCTGGCCATTTCTTCTGTTAAACATTATCATTTTCTCACTAATCTCCACAGTGAATAGTCTAAGTAATTTATTTACATTTTTGCCCCAATTACAGTTACTCTCTTTCAGAAAAGCACAATGCCTTGAAGTGCCTGTATCTGCTACGTTTCCAGCGTTCTACTCACTGGTTCCTGAACTCTACATCCATGATGGTTCTTTTTCATGATAGCTCTTCAACTGCTAGTGTTCGAATGCACAGCCTTTAGCTCAAGACAGTTGTGTACCTTCTGTTTCCTTCCTAGCAGTCCCACCACTCAGTTTTCCAGTACCCCATTCTTTCGCTTGAGCCCAAGAAGCCCATGGGCCTCATCAGTGAGTCTCATGGCAGTTCACCCCAAAATGAAATCTAGCCCTGTGGAAGGTTATTGTTGTGTATCTTGCAGTTGTTTTATTCCGTGAAAATCTATAGAGATATTATGGAACACAAATTAAATAAAGATCCAGAGTATGTGCCTTCCCAGTGCAGTCCTATCAAGGAAGTGACACTTGTATCTGTGGAACTGAACTCTCTCCATCATAAAAAAATATACAAGCTTAACCAGGTCTGCAGCTCTTGACATACAACCAAGAACCTCATTGTTCCCAAGACCTAGTAGCAGGCTTCACAGTGCACAGTAGGGCCACTATTTATCATACATTGCCTATATTTGAGATAATATTAGGTAATTTTATAACAAAAGCAGCATCTTACACAAGTTTCCAACAGATAGAATAGTTGTTTCCAAGGAAGGGCTTGTTTTTCAAATATGTACAATGGCTCTGTAAGGGAATTCCTGTTCAGCCTAGGATGGTAAAGCGAGGGTCCTACAAGATCCCATTTACCTATTTCTACTACTTTCTCAGCTATTATGTTAGTATATAAAGGACTTTCTGTAAGACTTAATTTGAATAAAAGGCTTTGTTAATCAAAAAAACAGAGAGGAAACCAAAAATCATGAAAATTTATGAAATTTTTACTGCTCTTTTTTGTTCTAAACTATTTTATGATTCAATGAATATGTACTTATAGTGCAAATTTATATAAACACACATGCATAATTTATATAAATTTATATAAACACACATGTATAGCATAAAATATACACATATATTTACAATTTTTATAGATTATATATATGCTTGCTATATATATATATATATATAGTGTGTGTATATATATATATATATGAATACACATATAAGCTTACTATATATAAGGTAAGAGTCAGCATTTTAGTTACAAAAATAGGGAGAATTATCTCAGGGCAGTCTCTCCCTTAGGCAGTAAGCCTCCAACAAGCTCTAAAAACTTTTAGGAGAGATTATAGCTGGAAATAGGTATAGTGAGATTTTGAGTTACCTAAATAAAGATTTTCTCCAGGTATATTGATTCTCCTTTTTAATATGTTCATGTCAAGATTAAAATATAGTCCTCTACTATGAAAATTCATACTTTAATTGTGTTCTCAGTGTAAACTAGTGCTTAGGTAACACTGGCCCATGTATGCATTAGTTTAATGTTCCTGTGACCTTTTCTGGTATGAATCAAAGGTGCCCTACTTTATAGTTAAATGTATACCCTGCTTTTTGTTGTAGAAAAGTTCTAATATCCATTGTTCTGTTTTTCAAACTTTGAAATCTTCTAAAATTCTTTTTCTAATGACATCAAAATATGTGTCTAATGTTATATTTGGACTTAGATCTTGTAATCAAGAAAAATAATGCTTTCATGCTCTAGAAATATTAAGCATTTGTAAAAATTTATTGGAAATAATTTGGATGAAATTGACAAGGAACAAAATAAAATAACAATTAGTATTTTTATATAACCAGCATGAAAGCACTTAATTCACTGTGGTGAGTGTCTGAATTATAACATTTCTCAGGTAAGAATTTGTCAGTATTCATCAAAACTCTTAAAAATGCCTCCTATTTAAGGATTCTTATCCTTAGGAAGTTTTTAGAGATTAGAAGAAGTATGTTTGCAAAGTACTTATTATACTAGAAAGTAGTATAAGTATTTTCTTTTTAATTTTTTGTGATACCGAGACTGAAGATAAAAGGGTGATCCAACTTAACTGTATTACCAGCCCTATTAATTTATTTTTTATTCTGAGACAGGGTCTGGTTAAATTACTGAGCCTGGCCTTGAATTCGGCATCTTCTTATTTCAGCCTCCCAAGTAGTTGGTATTAAAGATGTGGCCACCAACCCATCTGAATAAAACATAATTTAATGTTGGGGAACAGACATATGTGGAATATATGAAAGATATGATTTCTTATAGTCATTTTAAAATACTATTAAAATATTTAGACATGTTAAATGTTCATTTTAATAATATAAGAAAAATTAGCATTACAATACATATGTATAATATGACCATAATCTTTAAAAATGTTGTACATAAACCTAAAACCTAGAGGAAAAAACACTAAAATATTTTGAAATTTTAAAATATCATCATACTGTTATGGATTATTATTTAAGGTATAAAATTTTATTTTTCTAAATTTAGAACTTATTTTCATTATAAAATTAAATAATACATATTAATATTTTAAATGAAGATTCTAAATTTAAAACCTATATGAAAATGCTCAGGCTGTTATTTTGAAGAAATTATTGTTTTTCTAATTTTGTTATTTATGTAGTTCAAGGTGACTTTTTTGTTTATAAAGCTATGTTTACTCTGCATCTTCAGATAACTGGACCTGAAGGTCTGGTAGTAAATAGCAGATAAATGCAGGTTTATTGGCTTCAATTTGAGAAATAATGGACTAGAATCTCTCTTAGATGTGGACAAAGAACAAAGCACATATGTCCTCATGCAAGATAGCTA